GACATAGAAACTGAGAGAATGTTTGGTTGAAATATCTACACAGGAAGTGAGTTCAAAACACACTGTTAGCCAGTGGTGTTGGAGAGCTTGTGAATGCTGATGGAATTACGAACACTGAAAGGTACCATCAGATTTTGAGCAAACATGTAATCCATCTTGAAAGTGTCTGATTTTCAGCGTGGCAATGATACCAAACACACTGGCAAAAGAGTAAAAGAATACCTGGATAGAAAACACACAATCGAGTACTATCAGTTGTGGACCTTGACGTTTCTGAAGGGTCATTTTCACAGAGAATGGAATAAAAAGCAGCCAACATCCAAAGAAGAGCTTTGAATGTACTTCAAGAACCCTGGAGAACTGTTCTTTAAGACTACTTAAAGAAATGACAAAAAAACTTGCTTAAGAGAATTCAGGCTGTGTTTAAAAGTAAAGGTGGTTTTACCAAATACTGACTTTCAAGGTTGTTACAATTTTACTCTAACAATGTAGTTCGTGCCTTATATACTGTATTCACATTTATATTTGCATGTTTCAGTAAATCACTGCACCTTATCAAAAGATAAGGGGTGGGTTAATTTTAAAAGAAAGTAACGCTATTAAACCAACATTTAATATATTCAAATGACACTGAAAAGCCAGAAATGGATGCACGTTTCGTCTGATTCTGACATGTCATAACATTCATAATGAAAGGGGCATTTGAAATGAAATTTAGCAATTATTAATATTACCAGTTTGACATATCCAAATATTCACCATGAGGTCTAAATTATTACATTTCTTAATTTAGCGACACAAATATACTCAGTGTCAAGTTACAACCCATGAAAAGCTTGCATGAAACATGTTCAGGGTTGACATATTAAATGTAAATAACATTCATCACGCTTCACTCCATTTAGCCTGTCAAACAGCGAAACAGTGCAACACTGCTGGCGCTGGAAACCCACACAACGTGTGACCCAGATAAATTATTCATTTTTACACCTGTGTGTTAAAAGCAAGGGGAAAAAAGGCTATTGTGAAACTTAAGAAAGTTAAAGTGGTTCATCTGAAGTTGCAAAGCCAGTAAATGCTGGAGTGATAACCTAAAACTGGATTAATAGTACAGGGACAGGCTAAGCAGGAATTCTGTTGTTGGTCCTCCAGGGTGTGCTTTGATTTATAATTTAGTCAGATTCCATCCACAGGTATCACCTCAGTGCTGCTAGGCACATGTGTTGTTTATGATAAGGTGGGCCTGAGATGGGATGTGTAGTCCTATTTTAGAGATGGATCTATGGAGCTTACACGCTGAACCACTATAGATACAGCATAACCTTATTAAAAGAGTTTAGGAACAGTCATGAATAAAAGTTAATACAGCAGCTTATTCAATGTAACTCAGCATACCATCAAGAATATGGTACTTGCAGTAAGGCATTGCATAATGCTTGAATGGGCAACTGTAAGAACCCTTGATTAACCCACTCTTGTGCTTTTATGTAGTCTACTAGGTTTCAAAAATCTAACCTGGTGGCTTATAAAGTATCAGTGTGAAGTGAAACCTAGTACAGACTGCCAATGGTCTCAGTAATGGACTCATTGGTAGGGGGTAATTATGATAATATGCCAATTTTGATGTGATAGTGGTTGTTGATGTTAAAATGCTGCATGTGGCACCTTTAAATGCTGAAACAATCTGTATGAAAGCAGGGAAAGAAAGTCAGGGAAGGCAATGACAGTGAGGGACAGGGTATGAATAGAAATGCCACAAAGGTATCCGATTATGCTGCGATTTTCTGTGCCCGGTCCAGAACAGAAAGGAGTTTGTTGTGTTCTAATGATGGCAGGAGGAGATTAGGAAGGAAAAAGGAGGCAGAAGGACAGATGATGGAGAGATAGGCTGACAGAAGTGGCAGCGGTGGTGGAAAAAGAGAGCAGGAAGATATATGGGTCTGACGGAGGAGTGAGTCATTGAAGGGAGACTGGCCGAGATAATGGGCACGGGAATGAAAGAAGAAAGGGGATAGATGAAGGACTCACTTAAGATGGTAATGCTGAATGCACCAAAGGGGGGGTGGGGGGTGTCGGGAAATGGAAGGGTAGGAAATCGCTCATTGGGGACGGTTAATGTGAATTGGGCTCCGAGAGAAATGACAACTTCTTGGGTAACGGGACAGAGTCGAGCGACAGTCTGTGTGTGTGCGTGCAGACGGGAATGTGTACGGACGAGAGACGGAGAGTTTGAAGGAACTCGGGGAAGAGAGATGGTAATATACGCAAGCAAAGCTTTAATGGGGCGGAGAATAACGAAAATGGGAAGAGGGAGGCAGGAAGAGGCTGTGAAAATGCTGTGCTGTGTGCAGAGCGTAAACAGAGTGGGCGAAGAGGGAAAAACAGTATGTCATTGCATATAATTTTGTGGTAGTGGGTCATGCGTGTTTCAAGTCTTGCACGATGATTGATGTCAAACATAAGTGTATTTTTGAAATCTCTTTGCATACATATACCCTGCTGTGTGCTGAAGCCCCTGCGTTTAGTTAGTTGTGTGTGATAACTTACTAAACAGCAGCATACTGGCGTTGGAAGCCCCCAGACGGTTTGAGGCAAAGCAGGTGTAGTTGCCAAAATGTTTCTCTGTCACATTGGTGAATAGCAACAGCGAGCGTGTCTTCTCATTTTTGATCCTTAGGGTGTTGTCACTCTCTACCGGCCTGGGTAGCCATCGTGCAGTAACAAAAGCAAAGGGAGAAAGTAGAAAGGAAAGACAAGAAAATTGGTGACAGAAAATAACATCACACTCGAGTCAGTGTGAACAAGAAACTTTTTGCTCAGAGAGACGAACGTGCAAAATAGCCCTCATCTCTATGTTCTGTCTCACCTTGTAGTCTCAGCCCATAAATAACTGATACCTCCTATTGGGGCCTATTATACTCTATTAACAACTCTCTCTGGCTAGCAAAGCCTTGTCTAAGTACTTCTGTGTCGTGCTTTGCCTGATGCCAAATCACCCTGACTCCTCTACGCTCTCTGGGACCTTTTACAAACTTGGAGGGGCAGTTTATGTGTCTGTAATATAGAGGAAATATGTTGCCAACAAGCTAATATTTCTCCGGAGATGGCAATATATACATGATTATCTCAGATATATACTAATGCCAGAGGTTAGGTACATCAGCAGCAGCCAAAACCACATCTACAGTAAATGACTGAAAAATGAATTCTCTGTCTGAAAATGTTCAATTTGAACCATTCTCTTATGAGAATGAAGACACAAAATTACCCAAATTTTATGAATAATGTTTCCTTATTCTGGGCGTTTTAAAACAAAAATGCAAAAGAAGATGAATACATTATTGAGTTTTAAATGGCTAAATCTGTTTTCTTTCTCCCCCCTCTTCTCTAACCTGCTGCGCACCGGATGGATTTTAATAATCCTCAAGTCACATTTTAATTATTGCATGTTTTTTGTTACTGTTTATCGACAGATGGTTAAAAAAAACAGTGGTTTGGCTGTGGCTTATAATTACTCCCTCTAACCAGACAAACTGTTACTTTTGTGGCGCTGCACTGAGTTGTCAACCAATCAAATCAATGCCACAAAACAAAAACACGAGTTAATGACACCTGCAAGTTGTTTGCTTAACATAACCCCTTGGGGAAAAGCATTTTCTATAAAGCTTCAACTCATGTATATATATATAAAAAAGGATATTTTAAATGTGGATCATAGATCGTATGTAAAAGATGGAGATGAGCAACCATGAGTTTACCCACTCGTGTGTGGGTTTAGGTTGTGAAACAGGACATGACTAAATCTGCATGAGAGCTGAAGTTCCCCTCAGGCATTTGCAGCCAACGCTAGCGATGTCTTTCTAGCTTGATAAGCAGGGCGCACCTGTAATTCACTGTGATATTAAATGGAATGCTGATTTGGCGAGCAAATATCAGGCTTCAAACAGGTACACCTGCCTCAACCAGCGTATACGTGATCTTCGCCCAGTCTGCCTATTCCGTGTAAGTAGAACAGTACCAAATGTTATAACTGAAAGATTCAGGAGGCTTCATAGCAGACAAATTGGCACCTAAATTGACAGAGTTCTCACCTATGATCATCCCTGTACCACTCAAAGGAGGCCGGCGGGACTGCCATGGCTTCACAGCGCAAGATGGCTGTCTTCCCCAAATGGGCTGGCATGTTTTTCATGTCTGTGATCATGGGAGGGTCTGGTAGAGAAGGATAGGAGAAAACACAAACAGAGAGACTGGAATGAGTAATGTGTATACATTTAGCTTCACTTCAACCAAAAAGGCAGGTCTAGCCACAAGGTTAAAAAGCACCTGCAGAGAACAAATTTAAAATGTATACATAATAAAGCATCTAAATCATTAACATATATTATTAATACATCACTGTGGACATGGAGTTCATTTTGTGCAGCGCACAGGTGGGATACTTACAGTTGACTGTGACTATGACCTTACGCTGGTCTGGAGGGGCCACACCATTGTTGGTGATACATTCGTAGTCCTGCGCCTGCTGCCTTGTGATCTCCGTGATCTCCAGGAACTCCCCCTCACGCAACGTCCCATCTATTAGGTAGAAGTCAAAGGTCACTAAAAATCATATGCAAGGTGATGCAGGCAACTGATTTAAGCTTTTTTAGCTGAGGCTAATGTCATTTAAGAGGCCAAGATGCACATATTAGATGACAACATATAATGCATTATTCAAGAACATTTACAAGAAGTGACGTTGGGCTGACCTTGGTTACTACTTAAGTTGTGGTTAACACATTCGCCCTACATGTGAAAGACTCACAGTTTGAGACCAAGATGAGACACAAAAACAGCCTCAGGGGGTCAAAACCAAGCGCTCGGCCCGAGCTTGGATAAATGGGAGGTCTGTATCAGGAAGGGCACCTGGTGTGAAATCTGACCCCATGGCAAATAAAGGAACAGCTGAATGTCCATTCTTTTATTATCAATACTCAAATGGCAACTTCCTCATGTATTTATTGTTTATCGCAATTTAGAAATATTAATTTGGATTATAGAAAAACCTCAAATAGTTAACAATGCAACAATACAGTGCATGATGATACTTATTATGAGCATTAAGGTGTGTATAATTACGAAAAAAATGTTATAATTCAATTTTTATCTCCTGGCCCAAATGCTCATTTCTTCAGTTGATGTTTTCGCACATGCAAAGTAAGTAAACACAATGTGACAGCAGTGACTCTTTTACTACTTTTATACTGTCGGGGGAAATTGTAAGCTTTGCTTTCTAAGCGTTGGACACACTGGGAGGGGGGGGGGTTTGCTCATTCACCACATTACGCGGCGAGCAAGAATATTTGGCGGTTATTTGATGTTGACAAACTCCCAGGTGAACAAAAAAACAAATTAGTCAGTCTCACACTTTCAGTCTTTTTCCTTGGGCGACAAAACAGCCACAGAATCTCTTCAGAGAGGAGAGTCGAGGGGACAGGCTACAAGTTATTGCTCCTTCATGTGAGGGAATGGATGCTGTGGGTGTTATTGGTTCGACAGTGGAAAAGAGAGCGAGGGAGAAAGAGTGCAAGGAGAAGAAGAATGATAGCGAGTGTGCACCCCCTCCTCCTGTAAGCACAGCAGCCAGCTGTCTCGCAGCCTCCGAAACCATTAGGCCTTTTTTTTTTTGCCTTTACCCCATTAAAGAAGTCAGACTGTGGAACACAACATAATATATAATCTCACCACTAACAAGGAAATCCAGCTCTTAAATTGCTGCACACTTTCCCCTTTCAAAGCCCCCACCCAGTTCCCAAAACACACAAACCAAGCCACTGTCAATCAGCAGACCTTTACTTCCCTTAACAAACGCACAAACAGCTCCTGAGTACGTTTGAGAGCAACACCAACGCAAACACGCACACATAAAAAAGACGCTAAACGCCACGATTATTCCTGTCAGAGATTAGCGTGGCGGTTCTAATTGAAGATTATACTGGAGGATTATTAGTGCGGCTACTGAGCTGGAGACGATTATTTGCAGCTGCTGCAGCAGAGGCTGAGCAGCGAGCGACAACCGCCGTGATGGCTGCTTGTGCCACCCGGGTGAGCCGTGGTTGATGGGGTGGGGTGGGTGAGATGTTATTCACTCATTCGATTAGTCTAATAAATATTGCTCTCTTGTGACATCTCTGTCAAGCAGGCAGAGCACCCAGCTTTGCAAGGAGGAGGGAGCCGTGGCAGCGTAGAGGGAAGAAGGAGAAGAGATAGAATCAGACAACTAACACTGGAGAAATTACACACGAGGCTGTTACAGGTGACGAAAGAAATCAAAAGGACAAAGCAAAGAATAAAAGAACCCGAGAGCAATCGAGTTATAAATTGAGAATTACAGACACAGAGTGTGGTAATTTGACAGCGATACTGTGTAAGAGACTGAAAGAGATACACAGATGTACAGATAAAGAAAAAAGGAGAGAAATGGCAACATAACGAGAGAAACAGTGACAGATGTCAGGTTGGTTATTTGATATTAGGTTTTTTTCATGGACTTTTCATCCATAGCATCTATGTATGATGTAATATCGCAAAGCAGTCCTTGCACTCCCCCTTTATTCCCCTCCCTCTCCATCCCCTGAGATCTCTGGACCTGCATTGCACACCTCTCTCCACTTTGGTGGGAGATCATATCTGAGCGGAGCCGGCCCTTGGCACTCCCACAATGGTCTGTAAAATACAGCTCCATGAACCACTTATGGCTTTTGAAGGAGCCTGACTCCTGACCACCAGAGATAGTTGGATTGCACCTTGGAAGAGACAGGGTTTGTGAATAAGAGGGGGGAAAAGGATCAAGAGTTCTGGCCCGCAACAGTGAAACCGTGCTCTATTTCCCCGGCAGCACTTTGAGCTTGACTAGACTACCAGGGCACTTGATTTCTCGGCTCCTCTTATCCATTTCCATTACAAAAACTACAGTCAAGGCAGAGTGGTCTGATGTGAGGTTAAAACAGAGATGGGTGGGCAGTCTAACAAATGATAAAACCAGTCATTCTGGTAGCATACAGCAGCTGTAATGTGTGTCAATTGATCTAAATGATACAGTAGAATTTCAAGGCCAGTGCACCCCAGTGCTTTACACGTGTATGACTAAAATTCCTCAAGAACACTTCAAATTGTTTTTCCCATGTTTTTTCCTGCACTTTGGATCTGCGAAATGTTGCTTGATCAGCAATGGACTTAAATTTCAAGCTCCTTTTTGATCGTGGGATGTAAAAACAAAGGACAACCTTAACCTTAACATTTGCTACATTTCACAGTTCCCAGGTCTTTTGGGGGACTCATTAAATATTTGGAAGCAATTTTTTAAAGTTTTACTGTGTTTAGAATGAACAAATGTGCTCATAGCTGGGAAAGTATTATGATTTGAGGAAATAGATTAACAGATTGTTAAATCAAGATATAACGCAGTCCAAGTCTTGCACGTTAACACAAATCCATAAACATTTGTTTATGAAAGCACAGTGTCCGACATATATGCTTAGTGGAAACACTTCACAGTTGAAAAAATAAAGGTGTTTCTGGGAACACTGTTTGACCACCTGTTGACTGGAAGCCATCAGACTTCTTTCCTCCTTTCCAGTTACCTAATTTCCCCACCCACCTGCACACATGCTCCTTATTCCCAAATTACATGTGCATGATAAATTGTACTCAGTATTCAGTGTTCTTGCCAACATACACAGGTCATCTGACAGTCATCTATCATCTAGTCATCTATCCTTTATTGTACCCATATAGTGTTTAAGCCTGTCGCCCATTTGGATTTGTTTCCCTCTGCTTACCGCCTTCCTGTTGCCAGCCTTCGAACTGAATTGGAGCCAAACAAACCATATTTTAATTATGACGGCACTGCTGTTGAGTTTAGCATCCCAGCCCATAGAACACCTACCAGAAATATCAAAGCCCAATCTACTGCCATCAACTGTAGCTAACCTATTTATATATTCTATAAGCATACGCAACAATTATACTTATCATCCTGTCCGAGAGTTTTAGTTGGCACCAAAAGAATATCACCTTCCTTCCACATCCATAAGCATCTATTCTAAGACTGTGTTACTGCAGGATTTAATGGATGGTACGTCAAATGATAAGCCTGGGCTGTGCTGGTGTATTTAACTGGATAAGACAAAATGCCTGTATGCCTCCGTGTGGGTCAACTGATGGATGCCAGAGAGAGTGAATGGGTGCAAAAGATTGTATCTGTGCTTCTGGTGAAGATGAAGGAGACGGCGGCTGCAAATAACAGCGCCGAGCGGTATTACTATCTGTATGTGAATAAGGAGTCTGGTAGCTGCAGACGGGACGCAAAGGGGTCAAAGACTTTTAGCATATCCCCCTCATCCCGCTCACCTTTCGGGTGGTTCTCCTCCTCCTATTCTACCACGTCTTGGTGTACTGCATACGCATTTTCTGCTCAACTTTCAACTCCTCTTCTCACTGCCCCTCCCTGCAGTTTCTCTATGCAGTCTCTGAGTAATGGGGACAGATGGCCGGCAGCTTCTTGCTGTTTCTTTGGGCTCGACCCCCCTCCTTTCTCTACCACCCCTGGTCCTCTGCAACTGATGGCTTGGTTGCAGAGACTCCTACGGAATAGCAATGTGGGCCCTATCTCTTTCTCTGCAAGCAGAGGGGTTATAGGGGGGTGGGGAAGCAGTTTGAGTTGGTAGGGTGGTTAGAGAGGGAGGATTATTGCTGAGAGAGGAGAAATGCTGTAGACTTTCAAGAGAGGACAACTGCACAGAGTTTGTGATGTGAGGTTGTGTGCGTGTTTGCTGCAGGTGTGCATTCATGCATGCTTTCCTTTTCTCCTCTATATTTTGTGTGTCTGTGGGTGTGTGTGATCACTCCTGGGTTTGTCCCTCCCTGAGGTACTGTAGTGTACTGTGTAGGTTCATAAGCACTAACTGTACAGCGAAGGACATACTGTTCACAGCATGATAACCCAGTCACAAACAGAAAGAGAGAAGGAACAGGCCTCTGAGTAAGCCCAAAGCTGTCTGTAAGTGCAGCACTACAGTAGGTTGGGCATTTATCGGCAGTATAATTACATCGTGTTCAGTAGTTGTTCACACTGACCTATTTATTACTGCTGCTTGCTACTGCATTTGATCTGTGTTGCTACAGCTGTAGTCAGGCTACAAGTTAGCCAATTCTGTTGTGTGAAAAAAAAGTCTGCAAAAAAGTGCTGAAACCAACAATAAAAAATGAAAAACTGTAAAATAATGATCCTTATTGCTTCGCAGCTTCCTATCATATTCATCTGTCAGTTGCAAAGGATATTATGAAACTTTCTAGCACACATGCTGATATTATAAACAAGAAAGTTCAATTCTGATAATTCACCCATTGTCACAGAGCTCTTAAGCTTCCAGTTTATCCCACAACACAGAAACAGCAAGAAAATAAATTAACATCCCAACCTTTTCTCTGAAAACAAACAGCTGAAACTCTGAGTCATAGCACAGTGGTATATTCAGTACATAGCAATTTTCTTTATGTGTCAAACAGATGAGACAGAAACTACAAATTGCAATTTTGGCAAAAAAGTAAAAGACCAAAAAATGAACTCTTCAATCTCTAGAGACCAGATAAAGGTTATTTGCTTGACTTTGGACCTCGGCGATGACGAAAACGAGAGCTAACATGGAATAATGCTGCGCTGATTAGATCAAATGGACTGACTGACTTCATCTATCAAGATGCGCTTCCTGACCACCCTGAACAAGCTCCAATTCCTCACACCAGAAGAGGTTTAAAATAGCTGATTTGGTGCCAAAAGTGGCTGTTGGCATCACGATGCTGGTTGACAAGGTGGATGAAGACAGATGCTGATGATTACGGGCGGCGCGGTGGGGATAATTACGTATAATGTGTGGTTATTTGGGACAAAACATTGGGACATGGGGAAATGCGGGAGTATGAATTTAAGATGGGGACAAACTAAACAGCTGGGTTTAAGAATGATGACACAGAAGCCAGGGATAAAGACGTGAACATGAGCTGAATGCTGATAAGCTTATAGGCTGGGAGAAAAAAAAAGGCTTTAACAGGCGAATGAGTGTCAGGGATGAATGTAAAGGCAGGGAGATAAAGGTGAAGCTGTGAACATTAGATCTCTGTATGTTAAGGCAAGCAAGCACGAAGGGGTAGCTTACATTTCTGTTCTTTCCAGGTGACAGTGGGCTCAGGCCGGCCGACTGCCAGACAATAGAGGTTTACATTCTCTCCCTCGTTCACTGACACATTTTTTGAGATGTTGACGATTCTGGCTGGCACTGAAAAACAGGATCGCACCATTAAAATATGACCTCGAAATACATTATTGATAAGGTACAGCTTTACATCCTATTAAGGTGTTTAACATATGATGCAAATCTCTGCAGCTTAGACAGACACACAATCCGCTGATTAATGATCTATGCTTGAGTGTTTACTGAACTGTGCAACAATATTCTTCCTTCATTCCAATGCAGCAATCCTAAATTCCTGCAAATGGATATTACCATTTCCCTCTCTTGACACTGACTCTAGTTTTGTCTTGAAAAAGAAAGGGCACTTGCAAAAGTGGTATTGGAGGAATTTTTACTTCTACTGTTTCAGTGAGTATGACCACCCCTGAAAACCATTTTGGCCCTAACTCAAAGTGTTGGGGATGCTGTGCATGTAGTTAGTTTGATAACGAGGTGGCCCTTGAATTTAAATAGCCCATTATCATTGTTTTTAATGAGCCTGGCTCTGAGATTGCTTTTTTGTGAGACATCTACCGAAGATACTTTTCTCTATCTTGCTGGAGCTGAATACTTGCAGCAATAAAGTACAGATTGGAGTGGTGGTAAAGCTGCTCCTGCTTGATACACTGACTTGAGGGTGTAATTATATTGTGTGTTATCAAGCAAGGGTGGGAAATGTGGGCGACTTGGAATTGAGCATTTAATTGGGTATATATGGTCATCTGTGCCAAGCTTTGGACCCTGCAGACAAGAGTGTTACTTGGCTGCAGTGTGATGTGAAATCTCCAGCAAAGCAGATGACATTGTCTCTGCCACCTGTGAGCTTTGAGCCAGACCTCGTGTTTTTATCCCTGTAATTTTTACCTAATATATCCTATTAAAAGTTTTTGGTCTCAATCTGCCGGTGATGTATGGCTACATTTTGCACTCCGTAGCCCCAAAATATGCATACGATCTGACACATGCAGGGGGAAAAGGCCTTAGATCCATCCTCCAGGCAGTCCTGCATCGATACATCATGTCACTAAGGATCAGTCACACACTCACTCACTTAGCTGCTGACTTGATGACTGAGCTCCAGTCGAGGTCCAGTACTGTCAGTTATTTAGTCAGGCACTTGGACAGCCTCCTGTGTACCTCATCTACTCAACATACAGGCTCATCCATCTGATCTGCCTAACTTTCTGTTTATAAAGACAAGTAATCTTAACAGCCCATATGAAAATAACAAATGGGCTCATCTGTCACTGCACTAGTCTTCCGTCACTGTAGCCACACACACATACACAGGCCAGCTGAGCTTTGAAGACACGAGTAATTTAACATTCATATAAATATAAATACCTTAAACACCAAGACATCATAAACATTAATGACTAAGTTGTCTATCATAGATTTTAGGTATACATTCAATCATGATTTTACAGAAAACTAATGCTGACACACACTGCCATAGAAACCATCTTAATTGCTTCCATGGAAGTCAGACTTCAATCACACCCTCCTGACAGCACTATGTTTGGATGAATAGCAAAAAGCCTAATTAAACTTTTTAATCAGATCCAGGGCAGTTTACAGTACCATGGGTGTAATATATACTTTTTTGCGGCATCACTGGCAATCAAATCTGCACTCTGGATATATTAGAGAAATTATCCAAGAGTACCAGATGCAATAAACAGCCACTTATAATAGATTCCTGTTCTGACTGAACCCAGCTGCTGACCTTGAACAATGAGGTAGACATGAACGATGCGCGGCTTGTTATTGGCCTGGAAGGTGCAGGTGTAGGGCCCCTCGTCGGTTACTTGCACCTTGTCAATATGAATGGAGAAGTCGCTGTTGTTGCTATTGACCAGTGTCACACGCCTATCCAGAGACCACTTATCTGTCCCCGTGAAAAGGATATTAGAGCGGTTCAGCCAGGCCTTGTGGGTCACCTCCTCGTCAATACGGCATCTGCGGGGAAAACAGGAAGTAATTAACAAGTGTAATATAAACAGTATATCTTCTGCTTCTCTCGGCTGCTCTCTTTAGGGGTCACTGCAGCGAATCATATCCATCTCACCCTACCCCTAGCATCCTCTTCCATCACACCAGCCGTCCACATGTCCTCCTTCAAAACATCCACGAACTTTCTCTGTGGTCGTGCTCTTTTTTCCTGTCTGGCAGCTCTATATTCAGGATTGTTTGTCCCATCCACTATCTCTTCCCTGCACATGTCCAAACCATCTCAGCCTTGCTTCTGCGATGCTTTGTTTCCAAACTGCTCAAGCTAAGCTGTCCATTTGATGTACCCATTTCTAACCCTGTCCATCCTGGTCACGCTTAACAAAATTTTTTAACATCTTCAGCTCTGCCACCTCCAGCTTGGCCTCCTGTCTTTTTGTAAGTGGCACCGTCTCCAAACCATACATCATAGCAGGTCTGACTACCAGCTTGTAAACCTCACCTTTCGCTTTTGCCGCTATCCTTCTGTCAGAAATCACCAAGACATTTGTCTCCACCCACTTCACCTTGCCTGCACTCTCTTCTTCACCTCTCTTGTCCACTGTCACTTGCCTTGGATGGCTGATCCCACATATTTAAACCTGCTGAAATATTTCATTGGTGTAGGT